GGGGAGTCTCTAAGCATACTCAGCTTAGCATTCTGGCTCAGGAAATAAAATGCAGGACTTTCTGAACCACTGCAGTATGCCTCAGCCCCTGCCAGAGTTTGCTTTTCCAGAAGCATCCAAGCATTCATATTCTCTCTCTCTCCCTCTCTCTCTCTCTCTCCCTCTCTCTCTCTCTCTCTCTGTCTTCTTTTCTTTTTCATCTATCTCCATCTCTCTCTCCTCCAAATGTGACTTGGAGACAGGCTGGACTCCCATACTTGATCCAAATAAAAAAGCCTAAGGAAGAAATAAAAGGGGGAGTAGGAGGGTCACTCCTTGTCCTGCTCTCTTCTCACAAGGTTGGCAAACCCAGGGAGGCAGCAGGGCCAAACACAACAGAGTATGGGGCCACACTCTGTGAGCTTGATCCTGACTCTGCCACTTATCAGCTGTGTGATCTTAGGCAAGTTATTTAATCTCTCTGTGCCTCCGTTTCTTTGACTGTAAAATGGGGATAATAACTGTACCTACTTTAAAGCATTGTTATAAGAATTTAATGAGTTAACAGATTGTAAAGCATTTAAAGCAGTCCCTGGCATATGGTAAATGCGATATAAGTGTTTCTAAAATAATGTTATTGTTAGTGTTCCCGTGTTAGATCCATGTCTCCCCTATTCCCTAGCTCTAAGTTTCAAGGCTTTCACTTATTGATCAGGGGCCCCTTGGTTCATTTTTTCCTATTGGGAAAAAGGTGAATGCCATGCTGTGTGGTGCATCTCTTACACAGAGAGGAAAACCTAAAGAATATCCTGTATCTAGGCTAAGTTTGTGTAAAGGCAGGGTTGTGCCAGCTCAAGTGCTCACTACACGGACTTTTGCCTGGGGCTGCTCTTGGGGCCCCATTCTTACCTCTAGGGGGATGAGAAGAACCCTCCTGGGAGCTTCTGCAGCCAGTGCCTTCTGGGAAGAGTTGTTCTCGCTGCTAAACTGGGCAAAGTGCTCAGCTTCCCCAAAGAGGTGTGTGATGCTGTGACAATGGATCTCAGCCCTGCGGGACTACAGAGCAAGACAACAGCCTAGAATCCAGGTCCAGGTCTCTGGCGATTATCAGAGGTCATTCTGCCAGATTGATAGGCTGTGCTTCAGACAACAGAGGTGCCCTGTGCTCTTTAAAGGGCTGGGTTGTCAGCCTGGCTCCTCCTAAGCCTTCTCTCCAGGCCTCTCCTGTTTCTGCATTATCCCAACATAAGAGCATGCCTTCCCAGTGTCCTATCTATCCCCAGAGTGACTTCCCAAGTCAGCTCACCTAGGCTGGATGTCAAGGGCTCCTGGGGAGGTTCCGTGGGAGGAGCCAGGCACTGTCGTGTAGGAAGGCTTCAGAGCCTTGTTGCAGAATCACCTCCCAAAATTCAGTTTGTGTACCTGATGCTCAGGTAAAGCCAAAACATTGTGACACTGGTGCTTGGAGATAAAGGTTTGTTTGATTTGGCCAAAGCAGGAGGACAGGGGAGCAAGATCTCTCATATTTATCTCTCCAAAAAGCAAAAGTAGGGAGTTTTTATGCAGCTGAGGAGTAGGGGAGGGGGAGTTCCAGGGAACTGAGAGAAGTCTGTTTCTTTAGTCATAGATGACACTTTTTTGCATCAAACTCCTGTGTGTCAGCAGCTGGTCACAGCTCCCTTGGAGACATTCCCTCCTTCTGCAAAACAAACTTACAAATTCTCCTCAAGACCCTGAACTTGCCTCCTCCTGCTTGACAAAGAAACAGTACATCTGCAACACAAAATTATATCATGAGAACAAGAGGTGCTGGTTGAAGAACCAAGATTCTGCAAAATAGCTCATAATTGTGCATCAGGGCTGTTATCTTTAAGGCAAAAGGCAGAAACTAGACATCTTGTGACTATTGCCATTGTTTAAGCTATCATTGTTTTGTGCTATAGTTTTCTATTATCTCAAGCAAGTGTACTTTGAAACATTTCTCCTGGGACTTGCTTTACAGACAGTCTTTCAGAATATGACTAACATCCTTTCTTAGTCTTTGACTATAAGCTATGTGACAAACAAAGCAATTGAAACATTTCATTAAAACCTATACCTATATCCTAACTAAGAATTATTTAATTCTAGCTGCCAAAAATACTAGGAATGTTGGGGGTGGCCGGTTAGCTCAGTTGGTTAGCGAGTGGTGCTGATAACACCAGGGTTGCCGGTTTGATCCCTGCATGGGCCACTGTGAGCTGCACCCTCCTTAAAAGAGTCAACTATGTCATTGTAGCATGAAAGCAATGTGTAACCAATGACCATGGCTGTTCCCCAATAAAATAAAACAAAAATACAAGGGGTACTAAATCACAAGGGGCTCGGCTATAGCCTCAAGATGGGTCCTGGACAGGTCTAGGTCACCCTCGGAGACTCATTCAGATTTTGGCATCTCTCACTGACAGGAATCCTAATAACCCCGACCACACACACCTACATTCCCTCTGCTTTGTGCTCAGGCAGGGCTGAACAGCATGGATTCAAAGGGCATGCCACCTGGTTCCCAGGTGTTGCCCACATAGAGTTTAGTGCAGTTCTGCAGATAGGGGAAAAACGCATATCCTTAACAACCAGTATGCACCTATGGGCTCATTCAGCAAAACTTTGTTGAGTGCATGTTATGAACAAGGCCCTGTGCCAAATACTGAGGGGAAGAGAAGAGGATACAGAGATGGCTTAAGTATGGTCCTTGCCCAAAGGACTTTGTCCTCCACCAGAGAAGCCAGCCATATATGTAACGAGCTATAATACGAGACCAAACTCATTCACTGATTTGACATTTTCTGAATACATATTCTGGGCAGGGCACAGCAGAGGAGACAGAAGCAGTCGTACCTTTAAGGACCTTATATCCCAATGAGGGAGACAGAGAAGACAATTACAATACCTAGATGCTCTTTGACTTACAATAAACCTATTGTAAGTTGAAAATATTAAGTTGAAATGCATTTAATACATCTAACCTACTGAACATCATAGCTTAGTTTAGCCTACCTTAAACATGCTCAGAACACTTAGATTAGCTTATAGTTGGGCAATTAACTTGAGTTCCATCTCAAGAGTAATTGCCTTCCTCCTTTTCTTCTTCCCAGAAGCAGGAGACACAGATGGGTGTTTTGGGGACATGATGGGATGTGAAAACACAAAACATAATATAAAAACAAACAAACAAAAAAAAAACGCTGGCAACACAGTACACTGTGGAGTATCGGTTGTTTACCCTTGTGATCACGTGGCTGACTGGGAGCTGCGGCTAACTGCTGCTGCCCAGCATCATGAGAGAATACACCGCATACCGCTAGGCTGGGAAAATCAAAATTCCAAATTTGAAGTATGGTTTCTACTGAATGCGTATCACTTTCAAACCATCATAAAATTGAAAAATCTTAAGTCAAATCATCATTAAGTTGGGAACTGTCTATGGTGTACAGGGTGCAATAGGGGTCAGCAGACAGAGCTTTGGGAGTGAGGAGCAGGAATGCCTAACCCACACTTGGAGAATCTGGGAAAGGTGTAAGAGGAAGTTTCGCCCAAACCAAGACCCATGGCTGCCACTTGGCATGGCTACAATGTGAATGGCACCCCCTGAAGTTGTGCCACCATTTGTGGCAGCCCCAGCTGAAGGATGAATAGGAGTTAAGCCAAGAGTACTTAGCAGATGTGGTGAACCACAAGTGGCTCAAAATGGCTGGAGTGCAAGGGCAAATATGGTTGGAGGGAGTATAGGAATTGGAAAGTTGTTATTTTGCAGCTACCATTGTAAAGACTGGATCAGACAAGAGTTATCAATGGATGCTAAATCTAGGGTCGATTTTAATGAGAAGCAGGATATTTGCATGGTTTTAAAGCGTCTCCCCACAGATTGCAAGGAAGAAGAAAAGTAGCTACGGAGAAATTGGGCATCACCTGGAACTGGTGATCAAAATCAACATCACCAATGAGAGACAGATATACATTTGAGTGTCTCCAGATCAGACATCATATTGCCTACCCAGTGCGCCAGCAGAGATGCATATCCCCAATCTAACATGAGGAAACATCAGGCAAACACAACATGAGCATTCTGTTAAAAAGTGTTAGCAGGAGGGGAAACTGTATTCTTCAAAAATAGCAAGGTCACAAACCCCCCCCCCCCCAAATGCTGTGTAATGTTCCAGATTAATGAATGCTAAATAGAAAAAAAAATAACTCAGTGCAATGCCTGACGCTAAAGTAGCTTCTGTACTACAGGGGGAGAAATGTTCTAAAGGACATCGTTGTATCAGCTGAGCAAAGTGCAATATGGACAGTAGATTAAAGTATTCTAACACTGTTAGATTTATGAAACTGATAGGTGTACTACGGCTTTGGAAGAGGATATCTCTATGCTTAGGAAATATACTCTGAAGTCTAAGGGTAAAGGATCGTGATGTATGCGACTATTTCTCAAACACCTCAGAAAATCTGTGGGTGTGCGTGTGTGTGTGTGTGTGTGTGTGTTTGTATAAAATGGATAAACATAATGTGTATGTGTGTGTATATAATGTGTACACAAGCATGACTATATATATATGGTGTATGTGTTTGTTTGTGTGTGGAAAGAGAGATAACTCAAATGATAAAGGAGATGGGCTAAAATGTTAACAATAGGTGAATCTGGGTAAAGGGTATACAAAAGTTCCTTATACTATTTTTACTTTCTGCAACGTTTTGTAAATTTGATATTATTTCCAAATAAAAAGTTAAAAAATTATGACCAGGTATCAGATACAAAGGATTGGGGGGTGGGGAAGTGGGGGGTAGTGAGACATGAAAGCAGCAGCCAGATCTTTTTTTTCCAGCTTTACTGAGATATAACTGACATATAACATCATGTTAGTTTAAGACGTACTACATGATGATTCAATATGCTTATATATTGCAAAATGAGTGCCACTGTAGTGTTAGCTATCACCTCCATCATGTCACATAATTACCATTTCTTTTTTGTGCTGATAACATTTAAGATCTACTCTCTTAACAACTTTTAAGTATATAATATAGTATATTAAGTAGACTATAATCACCAGGCTGTACATTAAATTCCCCAGAACTACTCATCTTATAATTGGAAGTTTCTTCTCTTTGACCAGCACACCTCCATTTAGCAGCAGCCAGATCTTGAGGAGACTTGCACATCACGTTGGAATCTGGACTTTATCCTGAGGACAATGAGATATACACAATAGAAATACTTAAAAAAATACCCTGCACTACAATATTGACTCATGTTTTGTTTCCTAATTTGTGCCTCCTGGTAGTTTACAGATTTGGGACCATCATTGCATATAATTTATTACACGGCTGGGAGGGGGCAGCAAAAGGTGTATTCTCAACAGAGTGTAGGGAAAGGGGTTGGCCTGGGAGGAAACACAAGGATGAAGAAAAGATGGACATGTGCCAGGCTGAGCAGAGAGAGGCATAGGGGTAAATTTCTGAGTGCTTCTTATGCTTGGGGGACCTTTCACACTAGAGATACAAAGATGAATGAGACACAATGGTCCCTTCCCAAGAAGTCTGGTGGTGTCACTCACTGTCCTGGATGACTGGTGCGGTAGTGTCCTGGAGTTGTCAGAGGCAGCCATGGGAGGGTTTGGGCTTCAATGTGGCCTTGTGGGACTGTGGAGCTGTAGCAGGCAGGGCTGGAGTTACAGGGGGCGCTCTCTCCGCTAGCCTAGAGGATGGAAGAGACTTGTGTTTTGTAAAGAATGACCATGTAAGGGAAAAAGCCTCCTTCAGTCTCTGAGGAGGATCATGGCCCATCCACCCACTCACCCACTTCTCTGTGGGTTCTATCACCTCTTCAGGTCAGCGGTCTCAGAGGGGCAGAATAGGGGCTGCTTCCCCAGCCCCACCAGTTTCTCCTTCCCTTCTGGAAGGAAGCCCACACATTTTGGAAGATCTTAGCACGCTCCCTCTGGGAAATCTTCTCTGGCTGTACCCCAGAAGGACACTAGGAGGGAAGTGCTGTCATCCAGTCCATGCTAAAGCTGGCCGACTGAGACCTCTCCCTTCCCCAGGTCTATGCCCTCCTCAGGGCAGTCTTTCCTCTGGGTGGTCCCTTCAGGACCCAGCCCACTCCTTTTCTGGAAGCCACTTCCCCCAAATCCTGGGCATCCCCTCTGGCCCTGTGGACATGCACATTGCCCTACTCTGGGCCTTTCCCTGACTTCCTCATTGGTGTCAACACTTCCATTACACTTCACATTCCTTCCATTCTGCCAAGGAAAATTCAATGCCAGTAGGATAAATCAGATAAGCTGGGCTCTGCTTAAAAGTGAGCTAGCTAATATGTCAGCACATGTCCCCAGAATTGATCAAAATAAGGGGAACTCTAGGCACCTACAAATTGGAGAGAAAGACATGTTTGGTTAGGTGGGCCTTCTTCCGGCTGCATTGGGCACATCATTCAAGACCAGATTATGGATAGGGTAGAGAATGGAGTGGGGGTGCAGTAGGGATGATCGGAGAACTGGAAGCAAGGCAGTACATCAAGAGGCTGTGGCTGTACTTCAAGAAGACAGTGGCCTGACCTAAAGTCTTGACAGGGTGTGCAGGGCTAGGTTGATGAAGCGAAAATGTGCAGGATATAACAGGCCTGAATGGGTGATGAAGATATGGGATAAGGGAGTGCTCAGGTTTTCTGCTTTGCTAAGTAGGTGAATGACAGTGCCATTTATTGAGAAAGAGATCATCTGGCAGGATAGACTGTGGGTTTGAGGGAGAAGGAAAGGATGATAAATATGGTGGGGTATACTAATTTGAGTTACCTGTGAGACATCCAAGTGGGCCTGTTCAGGAGGCCCTTGGATGGGGGCCAGCAAAGTCTGGCCTGGGAACAGAAAGTTTTAATATTTTAAAACACACACACACGGACACACGGACACACACACATGGACATGGACACAAGGACTTCTAACTTGGTTCACTCACAGGATCTTTCAGCCCCAGGCATGTTGACAGAAGAAGGTGTGGATGTCCTTCTTGGAGACAAGAGTGGAGAGTTCCTGCACAGTGGCTTTACAATCCCTCCTTAACAGTCATTATGCATAATCACAAGGACAACAGTCATAGTGGGGCCAGAGACAGTTGAGTACAAACCTCCAGAGCCATGCCTCTCTGCAGACTTCATAGTAGGCTTTCCCTCTTGTCCAAACCCCTGCCAATGGTGGTCAGAAGGCATTTGCTGGAGGATGTTGAGAATGCTGGTGTGTATGGTGGACCAGGTGTGGACCCTTGGCAGGGAGTGGAACCCTTGTAAATCTGGAGAGTCTAATCCCTCCCCTTTCAGAGTGTATTGAGTTCTTAGGGGCTGTGTCCTAATCCTGGTCAATCTCCATCCTATGTAGTAACGGGAGGGCAGCACCACCCTCCCAGCTGCACAGGATGTTCTTAGGTTGATGCCAAGAGCAAATCAGTCCGAGTCAGCACTTCCACCAGCCTTGTAGGCTCAGGGTGGAGCAGTGTGCATGGGGGTAGGGGAAGAGAGGTGACTTTCCTCACAGGTTGGAAGAAAACCAATTGGCATCTGAACTTCTTGGTTACAGAACATCTGGCTAGTAAAAACCTACATGTGCATGCGGGTGGGGACTGGGAGGTTCCCCCTCCCCCAAGTGTTAGCAATAATAAAGGACACTCCTGGTACAAGATGACGAGATGAGCAGTCCTGCACAGGACTCACACTGGGTTTCTGTTTCACCAGGAAGAAATCTTGAATGTCAGCCAGGTTTGTACTCATTGATTCATTCAGTCACTGAGGGCTGGTCTTTGTACTGAGTGCTGGGTGAGGCAGAGCTGGGGACTGTGCCCTTGGAGAGCTGCCAGCCTAGGTGCAAACACAGAAAACTCAGTGGTTCAGTGACATCAGAGCAGTACATCCCAACATGGCCCTAACTGCATCATAGCATTCATGACTGATAAGTTGCCTGGGGTGACCCAGGGATCGGGGACAAGTGTATGAAGACACGGTTCATTCAAGGCCTACATGCAGAGGATGGCCCAGAATGCTGGGCAGGCTTTCCACCAGAGAGGGGCATATTCCACAGCAGACTGAGACAGTCAGCAGGAGGCGTAACCACAGACTCAAAGTCCCACTGCCACCCTCTCATGCTGAAAATGAAACAGGGTCTAAAATTCAGACTCTAAAGGCCACCCTCAGGAGTAGCTTCCAGGGCTCTGGCTAACATCTGAGAGGCAGGAGGGAAGGGTTTGGCTACCCTCCCCAACCTATAGTCTCTAGTGTCACCAGCCCTTCTGGAAAGCCTCCAACAATAAATGACAGCCCAGCCAGGTGCAGGGCCACATGGATAGAGGGCTGAGCCAGAACTCCCCTGCCCTCACACCTTCACCTGTCCTCTTCCCCTCAGCCTTGAGGGCTTGCCAGACGTGCCTTCCAGAGTTAATGCAATGTCTCTGGCTCTTTTCCACCCCTGCTTAGTTTTTAGGCAGAAAGAGGCAACACACACGGAAAAGCCACTGTTATCAACCTGTCCCCAGCACCCTCATTCAAGGTGGCAACTAGGGTTAGTTCTAGAATCCAAGAGTTCCCCATCCATGGTGGTGGGCTGGGGGGTCCTGAATTAATGTAATGACAAAGGGGAGTGGGAGTAGGGATGAGGGTCATTCAGGACCTGGAAATATAGTCAGGCCCAGGGGTGTAATGGAGCTGGATAATTCTGGCACATGAGAGCCAAGTGCTATGTATTCAGAAATGTTGTGAGCTGGTTGTTAAGCACAGCTACTGTTTAAAAATATATATAGTTACAATGAAATAAATTATATTAAAAACTAAGGTAATAAATACTCTAAAACTCATCATTTCCTAATCATTTTACTGTATTTTACTATTATCTGTGCATTTAACATTGCTTATTATCTATCATATCTGTATGGTTGAAATACTGTATAATAGTTTGCAATTGCATCTGAAATTGGCAGCTTGAAATCAGCTATAGTGGGAGTATTTACAGCTCAGAAATCAGTAAATGCTATAAAGCAGGGCTCGATTTCTGTTTTTTTGATTATCTAGACATAAGAAAGTGATGGGGAAAATGCTAACAATGCAGATTACACTCAAGTGTGTGCCATGTCTGTAACTGTTACATTGTGAATCATAGCAAAAAATGAGGAAATAATAGTCCAGTGTTTGAAAACCACTATCCTATTCAGCAGTCACTCACATTATTGACAAATTAATGAAAGTTCTGACATATGTCTTTGTTGTCTCGCAGATAAATGAAACAAAAAAGTCAACCAACGTTCATGTCAGAACTACATTTGTTCATCAATTGCAAGCACAGGTTGGCTACAAATACAAGAGTTTGGCAAAAAATCAATGAAAACATTCTGTGAGAATCATTTGGCTACTGGTTAACAAATACTATCAATACCATCATTAATAGCAATAAATATTAACAAATATTAGTATTATTTATTTTTAATAATATTCTTTTTTATTATTGTTTAATTTGTAGGGTATACATCTTTTATATCAGTAAAATTTATAATTAGCTTATATACATATATTCATATATACACTTCCCCCAAGAGAGCCAGTTGTTAAACATTTACCATCACACCACTGGTTAATCCCAAGGTTCAGAACTACTTTGCACCAGAAACACAAGGTTCAAAGGTCCAAGAGGTACTCCAACACTGACCAAAACCTGGTAGAGGACAGACACGTGACTATATAAAAATCTGTGTGGTTTTTGAAATGCTTATGTAGGCATTTTAATTGCTCAGTGCCATATGGCTTAGTAAATCTGTTAGTTTTGTTCACAGCATTGCTATCATTTGCATTTACAGAAAAATGACTAACATCATATTGATAAAACTACTAGTTGCTAGCCAAACAAAATTATATGTCTTTAAAACAAGCAAACAAAAAACTTTTTAAAAAATCTCACTAGGCGGGCCGGCCGAGTGGCTCGTTGGTTAAGAGTTGGCTTGGGAGTGCGAGCTCTGAGCAGCAGGGCCGCCGGTTCGGATCCCACATGGGCCAGTGATGCTGCACCCTCTACAGCTAAGATGGTGAACAACAGCCTGACCTGGAGCTGGGCTGCCCTGAGTGGCTGGTGATGGCATAGGCTGCAGCCCCTGCTGCAGTGGGCTGCCTGCCATAAGCTACCGTGAGTAGCCGGCAGCCACCGTGAGCGGCTGTCCAATGGCCGGCGACTGATCTGCCTCACCCGGGAAGAGCGCAATGATCACAATACCAACATGGGCCAGTAAAGAGACATCCTCCACAACTAGACTGAAGAACAAAAGGACAGCAACTTGTCTGTTCCCTTTCTCTGATTCCCAAACGCTGTCCCCTCCCCCAATTCCCCAATAAAATCTTTATAAAAAAAATTCACTAGGCTACAAACTCCATTAAAGTAGGGACTTTGCCTCCTCATACATAATGGTATCCTTTGCGCCTAGTCAGTGCCTGGCATGTAGGAGGTGCTCAGTCAATACTTCTTGAAAAAAAAAGAATGGTTCTTCTATGTCAACTAACTCTGATCTAGCTTCTTCTTTACAATACCACCCAGAGCTGACCCTGACTGGGGACCTTGGCTGTAGCCCTTATCCTAGAAATTGCCCTCTCCACAGGTTCCTTGCTTTACCCTCAGCCAGCTCTGAGAGGACCCCTACTCCAGCATGTTGTGTTGGTGCCTGACAGGAAGGTCCACTGCTTTACTTCCTGGATGCTGGCTCTCTAGAAGTTGGCCTGGAATACTAGCTTGGAGTCTCCACCACCGAACAAACCACTTTGGTCTAGTTGCCAACTGTGCCTGTATGGACAGAATGAAAAAAATTAGGGGGTGGGGGAGGTAGAGTAGAGGCAATGAGGAAAGTCCAGAAAAGTACAACTCAAATGGGAAGCCATTTGGCTTTGGAGGGTGGGGGAAACTATAGACCAGTCTCCTGGCTAGAAACCTATGGAGATTTCCAGTTGTATCTACCACTTAGAAGCTGTGAGACCTTCCACAAGTCACTTTACCTCTCTGACCCTCAGTCTGCTTATGTAGAAAATGATCTAATGATCTAGAAGATCTTCACCAGCTTTGCTGGTGCTGGGGGCTACTGCTGACACATATACCTGCAATGCAGAGGAGGGGGAGGGCATTTTGATATAACAGAAGAAGGGCATCATTTGAAGCTTGGGAGAGGTGTTTTTAAGAACACAATTTCTATTTAGGAGAAAGCCAAAGTGTGTGGAAAACATCCCAGTTGGTGAGACAGGCTGAAAAGAAATACTGCAGATTCCCAAAGGCTTGGATCAATTCATGGCTGAGAGTTTACTAAAGGACTCAAGGATGATGCTTGGGTCTTCCTATCCCATGATGCACTTACCTGAGTCAGAGGAATCAGGGCCTCACCCACAACGTGGCATTTTTATATTCTTGTGTTCTCATGTCCTCCAAATGCCCCAGATTAAGTCCTTGCTGCTGCGTCTGCATGCCCACACCTTCTTCTCACATCCTGAAACCACTGCCGAGAGACAAGCAAGGCGATCTGCAAAATGAAGGCCAGCAGCTTCCAGACAGCAGACAGGAGCTTCTTCTCAACCCTTCCTCCCCCTTGCTGCTTCCTGCCATGTGGGCTCAATTCCTGACTGTTAGCCCTCAGCATCTTGCTCTGTTTTTTCTGATGCTCAGAATAACGACAAGGCTGGCAGTTTTCAGTCCTGCCTCCACACTGCAGATATGAGAGCAGCCTTCGCTAACAGTGTTTTCCTCCTGCTACTCTTCTGTTCAGAATGCCTCCAACTGCCTGCTATTTCGCATCTAAATCAATGGCCTGATCTTCAAAGAAAAGTAATTAATTCAGCACTTACTACGTGCCAGGCATTAAATCTAAGCACTGTATCCCCTGAACCTGGTATCAAATCTATGATGGACCCTCTGTTATTCGTCAAATGAATAAGTGAATAAGTTCTTAGAACAACCCTGAAAAGCAGGTATTATTCCCCATTCTACTAATTAGGAGACTGAGGCTTAGGGAAATTAAGTATCTTGTCCATGGTCATAGTTTATAAGACAAAGAGTCAAGGTTCAAACCCAGGTCTGTCTGATTCTAAACCCTGGGGATGCATATATATATATATATATATATATATATATATATATATTTGAATATATATATATATATATATATATGAATATATATATTCAAGTCTTCCCCACCTTCAATCTCCATCATCCAGGAAGGTTGTGGCCGAGCAGA